GATTTTGTAAATGAAACAGTGTCAGAACCATTGTGTTCTGCTTTCAGGTCTTTGTGTAATCCCAGTTGAAATTTCCAAGATGCCTTTTCTAAGTCCAGGGCTCTGTCAGTTTGTTTAAGGTTACGTTTTTGGGGCCACAATGGCACAGACTGTTGTTACAATGGCGAGCAGGCTTGGCTAATGTTGTTGTAGCCCAAGCCCCGAGTTTGGCCAGATTTTACGGGCTACTGGATTTCAAGAGCACTTGCCGCAGTGTGGACTTTCAGTAGAAACTGATACACAGGGTTTACCAACCTTGACTGGTTTAATGGATGTATTATGTCTCTGATTTCTCCAGTATTGTCACAGAGTCATTTTCATTGATTAAAACTAAGCTGTTCTAAAGCCATTTTTGTCATTGACTGTGATTATCAGCCAAGTGTATCTTGAATATATAAGTTGATACTAGTCTAGAGTTAGAGGAGGGCCTGCAAGCCCTTTTTCTTAAGGCGTAATCAGGCCTTTTTAGACTTCGTAATTCGTAGGCAGCCTCGCCAAAAATCAACGTAATTCGTAATAGGACATTAGCCGCAAATCATAAAGTCGTAATCAACTCTGAGGCGTTAACGTAATTCGTTACGTAAATCACTACCCCCCCATGCAGGCCCTCTTAGAGTAGTAGAGCCTTCAGGCTTGGAATTAGAGCCATTAACTCAAGACTTCAAGGTAGGAAACATAAAGCTTATACTTCTTGTGATATTGTTATCATCAGTAAGTTTATGTCATACCATAACAACAAGTTTTTAGCTGGTTATAGAGGTGTACCAGTACTTGTATTCTAGACATGATTGCTACATACGGTATGACAAATACACTGGGTATTTCCTACGTCACGCCTAAATCACCTGACAGGTAGACATGATGATAGACATCTACTGTGGCTGTAGTTCTGCTTCCTTGGAAAGTAGAATGGCGGCAGGAATGTCATCCTGTATGTTGTTTCATGGGTTACGCTCTTCACAGAGCTAAGGTCAATGACGGGGTGTGTACCCCATGTTTGGTAATGGCTCTGGTGACACATCGACACAAAGCAATATCACAGAACAGTTTGCATTGTAATGTGAACGCTTTCGGAATGTATTTTAGAGTTCATAGCCCTTGGCTTTTAAAGGTCACTAGGGCTAATAGACCATAGGTGTAGCCACGGTATTGTTAGAAAAGTCCTTGTAACGTTGGAAGGTGGCTTTATTACTTGAATAGCTTGACGATGAAATGACATTAGATCTAGAAATGATCAGAAGTGCGGCCATCTTTGATCGCACGGTACGGCACCATTTAGACGAGGCTTGATTTCAGCTGCTTTCTGGTTCACGGAGTCTCAACAGCCCGGCCAATCCGGTAGCCACGGCTTTCGCTCTCGTCGTCGTGTGGGTAATCATCGCGGGCGGAAGTCGGACACGTAGCGAAAATGTCGCCTATTGTTCCCCGTTTGAAGGGATCAAAGGCCAGGGGACCGTCCCCTGGGTGGCCGTAGGGGTCGTACCATTGTGTAACACAGGTGGGGACGCTGTACACAGGTGCAGGGAGAACAATTCCCCCGGAGTCACCAGTGAATGGTGCCGCCGACTCAGTTACACCGGAGCGGGTCGCTTCCGTTATCCGCCATGTTTTGATACCCACTGCCAGGTGAGGCGGGGAGGGCGAGTGGCCGTTGACACGGCTAGGGTTACCGCCCTCTTCATTATACAGCACCACCAGGTATTTTCTCCGGCTTTGTTTGCTTACTTTGTCCTCTGTTTACCATCCTCTCTCTTGGGTGTGCGAGCCCCGGGCTTTGTCTGAGTTTATTTTAGTACTGGTCAGGCATTCAGCGCAGTTCTAACGGGCATTTCCTCAAAAGCAGTCGACTTAAAGGCTGTCCTGTGACTCTATAGGAAGCTGTCCCTATTAGGTGAGTGTAAGTTTTTGCGGTTTCATAATTGAGTGGGATATTCACAGGGGTAGTATCCTGTGGTTAAAGTCATACTGTATGCGGATCAGATAAGGCTCGGTTACGATGGCCAAAGGTGTGCCGCGTGTGTTCACAGTTTCGCCGGTACACGTCGGGGACAGCCGTTAGCCCCTTCCAAAATCCGCACGAACCCCCACTCGACGGTTGCTGAGCAAATTTGCTCTCCTGCGGGAATCACTGTCTCGTGTTTATAGCTGATCATCTGAAGAGGTTATCACCAACTTGTTAAAAGTTATTTGTCAAGGTAGACGGTTGATATGACAGGATATGGCAGTCCTGTCAGTGTGTTTTGGCACAGGACATTTTTTGCTTATCTTTGATGCTGTGTGAGACAACAAAGTACTTGCTCCTCATGACCTCCATACTACATAGTAATAATCTCTAAGTAGATGTTTATAGAAAATCATAGCCCTAATTTCTGAGAGGGTGGCTTTTCTGACAGTTGTCAGTTACATACAGTGCAAAGTTATGCCGTAACTCTAAGCTTGTATAAACTTGTATAAAGCTATATGCCTACTCTGCACGTTGAAGTCTGTGTTTCCATTAAGTATGCCAGATTGAAAAATTTGCCCAACAGCAACTTGACCAAGGTCGCCAGTAGTATTCAAGAATTATAGTCCCGAACCGGTCCGGACTAGTCCAAAACTAGTAATAACTGGTGTCAAATTGGCAGAAACAATTTACTCACACTGTGGAAAAGAAGTACACCATTGTCTTTTCAAAGTTTCGCATGCAAATTTTACAACTGATTGGTAACTGGATTGCACATAGACAGAGTGACATATAAGTTGATGGGCTAATTGCGATGACACAGTTGGGCAAATACAAATGTTGTTCTTTGTTAAGTTTATGAGGGAAGTAAAACCACACTACAAATTTTATAGCCTCATAGACATTCCATTGGGTTTATTTGAATTGCCAATCACCAGTTGAAAAGTGGGAATGAAAGGCATAAAACTTAAGTCCATAAGCCTATAATCGTTGGAATATATTGCCAAAGATTTAGATATTGGAAGCTTGTGTTATTGCAGGATGCAGCAAATTATTGGGTGATCATACCATGTAATTTGATTGGTTACACAGGTGTTTCTGACTACATGATTGTATCCTTCAAATGGCCCCCCGAAGACCCCCCTTTTTGTGTCTCAAGGGCAGAGGAACAACAGCAGAACTTTGCCGTAATGCCCCTCCTTTATTCCTCCTGTACAGATCACTGGTAGGAAAAATAATAAAACAGAGCAGGGTTCAGAAGCCACCTGACCAGAACCGTTCGGCAGAGTTTTGTTCTTTTGAAGCGTTATTGTGTTGGCCTAACGGTGGGGTCTTTGCAGGGCACAGAGACAAAGGCCTACCTGAGATAATTGTGTCACACCTGACACAGGATTTCCGTTCTTACCTGCCCTTCATACCTGTTTATATGTCTCAAACTGAACCTTTAAGTGATACGTTGGTGTTTATGAAAGTTTTAGGGCATAACATCACTTCCTTCCCGAGCTATTGAACACATTCTGACTCCAGCTCAGTTACCAACCGCATCAATATGTCTATGCCTAATAGGTGTCAACAGTTGTTTGATCCGCCATGTATTGGCCGTCTATAGTTACCGGCCTATGTTACATGCATGGTCTGTCGGTATAGGTGGCCACTGTACGGTTAGGCTTTTGTTTAGCGATCCCTTTACTCTAGAGTACCCCATGGCCGTAGGACTACGCATAGAGCAAACCGGGCCCCATTGAAAGTTAACAAGGTGAAACCGCGCTAATTCCAGCTCGTTTCATTTCCGGACTACGTGGCAGGTGATATGTAACTTGCACTGACTTGATCAAGTCGTTCCGACCAGAATACGACAGTGATAAGAGTAGGGTAAAATTGAATGATAACAGGGATTTAATTGACTGTAATAATGGGGGCATCTCCGAGAGCCTCGAGTGTTGCTATAGTGAAACTACAGGGGGCGGAGAGGGGTGTTCTGTCACGGGCGAAAATCTATAAATTACAACTGCGCCAGAGCGAGGAATAAAAGGTCAAAGTACACAAGGTTGTGTCATTGACAGGTTGGGTGAGTTTGATCAATGATTCACAAAGCTTAACAAGTGGTGGTTGCTGCTGTTGTTTTTCTAGCACAGGACTCAAAACAGGTACCAGTAACAGGTCTAGAGATTCGTAACAATCTTTTACTGCTCTTTAGGGTCTATTGTATAATGGTTAAGTTGCTAAGCACTGTAAGGTGAGGTAGAATCATGGAATGTATATTATTACCTTAATAATGAACGTGACATATTATGTTCTGTGTAGATGCATGGGTAGGATTGAACAGCTGTGTTTAACATGTATTTCTGTTACGGTCGTGTAGTTTTCACGCGAGACTATACCAACGACCTTGCGCTGCGCTCCCGTTTCGTACAGTAAGGTATCCCTGCATGTATCGGAGCCTAGGTAAACAGCACGGTCTGGTGTGCCTTGCTACTTGTTTATGTACCCGTGCTTGTCACCCTTTGTGGGGAAGGGCGGGTTAATGTAAAGCTGATGAAAAGATACTTCGACAAATAACGCACCTGCCCCCCTCTGAAGGTCAACCCACGGTCTAGCCTCTGTAACGCTTGTTTATATTGAAGCTTGTGTCTTTCCACCAGCTTTGCAAGTGGCTAACGTAATTGAAAAATACATCCCTCTCCTATCCCTTCTAGAACTTAAGCCAGCGCTTCCGAGAATATAACTTGTACCATGTTTTGCCAGCCTTTTTGAGTAGAAGCCGGGTTAAGCCATCACTGTAAAGAGAATAGCCTAGGGTGATGTGGAACAAAATACCGTTCGAGGTTGAACAGTCAGTTTTAGGCCGAGAGACATAGAGATTCATTTGTTTGTCCACGTTGCCATAGGCAAGACGATATGTATCTCACTCTCCTGGTGTAAGGACCAATTAGAACTGGGCTTTAGACAGTGGAGGGGTGAACTGTGACTGTGCTGATCTTAATCTTAAACCAGGATTTACATTTTTGTTTCCACGCAGAGTTGAGACTGAGTGAGAGAGTGGAGCAGGAGTATGGAGAGTCAGCTAGAGATGGTGTCACTGCTTCTGCTGTGGCTGGTTTCACTGGTCAGCTGTCAGGGAGCGAAGAACTTCGACTGGCACGCAGCATACGACTTCCCCTCCAGTAAGTTTTGTTCTCGTAGCCGTTCCTGTTGAAGTATCTGGTTCACGACTGAAATGATAATCAAATCAGTAAGTTACGTGTATGCACAGGATACAGTGGAAAGGAAAATGTGAGGGGCCATGGAAGAAGTTTCTCCAAGCAGATTCTGTGAAGCAGGGGGAGTCTAGCCTCCACCAGGCCTTTCTACGGGAATACGGATCGTAGAATTTGGCAAAAAGAGAGTAAAATTGGCCAAGGGAGTCCGGCCGCGGGGAGGTAGTTTCTCCTATATATAGCCAGCATAGTTAGTCTGGTAGAGAATAGGGGGAGTCTTTATTGGCTGCCTGTATCCATTGGCCTCCTGAAATATGGGGTGGCCAGCGGTTAGAGGAGTTCAAAGGATACAGGTGGCCAACATAGACTCCCCCTGCTTCACTAATCTGCTTGGAGATTAGGAAGAAGTGTTGTGAATGGGAGAGAGCACAAATTGTGAATGGGAGAGAGCAGGAGAAGCATTCATTGCTAAGGAGAGAAGATGAGTATAAGTCATACCTTGGACGCAATATCAACAGACCTCCCTTGAATACAATGGTCAGGTATAAATAATCTGATACTCAATTTTTTTACACTCACTTGACTGTGTTTTTTGTCCCTTTATTGCAGGCACACCGTTTCCGGACAGTATGAAGTGCTGGACGTGTGTAGATGGTGCCGATGATAACTACAACTGCAACAGATGGGCCCCTGATGTCTGGTGTCCTGAAGGTCAGCTTCCTGCCTCTTACACTTTGTAGGATTTATGAGACATAGCCGTTGGGTAATGTCTCGACTAATAGGATTTTTTGTACGATCCAAGGACAACCAAGGACAATCTTTAACAAGCAAATTGTGGACACTCCCATCATTTACCTTTTTACTGCCAGGGAAGCAATTAGTTGAGCATCAATTGTGACGGAAATGAGTTCAGGTGACCTACATGTAAGTCTGTTGGAGTGGTAGTAGACATAACATTAAACAACAGCAACATATCACAATTTACAGCGAGTTAGTTCCATTTATTATCCACAAATGTAAACCAGTATGGAAAAGGATTTGAGATATTTTCAGGTCCGTAACTCCTTTGGAATTTAGAAAGAGAAAGCTGGTAGACAAAGAAGTACACGTAGTTGCAGGCAATTCATAGCAAGAATTTTGTTTTTGTATTCTTCAACAAACAAGTGCATTAGAGAGCACATCGGCAGAACGTACTGCTCCTGCACGAAATCCGTAATACTAGTATATTGTGCATAGCACTTTGGCAGAACGTCCCATATAACTTGGTATTTGCGCATATTATATCAACACTCCGTCTGTAGTTTCCAAATGTTATGTCGGAAAAACTATTGTCTGCAACAGGCAAAATTCTAATACAATGTTGACCAAAAATCCAATGAAAACCGTGAAAAATCAGGTTCTGTGCAGGTGCAGTATGTTTTGCCGACATGCTGCATTAGAGTCACTAGGAATGGAAAATGTTGTAGTTCAGCCTGTTGTATACAGCGTATTGAAGGGTGAGGTGATTAAATCTTCAACAAGCTGTTAGGATAACCATTTATCCAAGTAAACCAGTGTGCTTGGAGTTATTTCTCAAACCTGTCAACAAAACTGTGCAGGCATGAGTTAGACACGCGACAGACAAGACAGAAGTGTGGTTTGACAAAGTTTATGTGTAACAAGATAAATTTGTATCAAAGATTGTGTTATCCAAAGTGTGGGAACATTGTAGTCACACCCAGGGGATGTCACACAAATGTGTGTGTTAGAAGTGTGCTCTGTGCCAATGGTTTATATCTGTTTTCTTTCAAGTTCATGTTGAAGTCAAACTTGAACTAAACTGTAAAACCACAAGTCTAGTCAGGTGGAAACAAAAGAGACGAAATGAGATGATTCTTTCAGACGAAGGATTTCTTGGTGTGCACTGCAAGGTATTTGCCGGATGCCTGGTTATGCCTGTTAGGTTTACTACTGTAAATCCTGCAATGTTTTATTTTCAAAAGACTTACTGCAAAACCCTAACAGTGTGTTTTTTTTAATTTTACTGTACAGAAGAATTGTTTAACTTCACACTTCAAACACCACGAAAACCTGACCCTTTCCCTCCCAACATAAAAGAAAACCACAGCAGAAATAATGCATAGACCTGTCCAAAATGGCCTCAAGGCTACAGCATATTTTGAATCATATTTAGCATATGTAAGGTTGAAGGCATTTCTTTGTTTTGAGTGATGTTTTTTCATGTTTTGCTGTTCCCTTGTATGGCAGTGAAACTCAACAATAACAATATACTTTCCTTTGTCTATTATTTCCTTCTTATTTGTATAGTTTTACAACATTTGCCATACTATGGTGCAAAACACTACATTCTTACTAACAGTATGCAAAAACAAAGGGTGATGCGACATTTAAGACAATTTGTTTTTCTGGTTGCAGGAACGAGGTACTGCCACACTGTACACCACATGAACGAGGTAGGACAGAGCATCAAGGTGTGGAAGAAATGTGCTGCCCTGGATGAGTGTAGCAGGGAAAATGTGGGGTGTTCCAACACTGACATTCCTGGAGTCAAGGTGAGATCTCAGTCAAAAGCACCTGTAGTTCTAGAAGGGCCTGCAAGTGGGGTCCCGACAACGCTCTACGCTGAATTCAGAAACCTCTCGATTACGCTTTACGATAAATTCCAAGTGGCTACAACGCATTACGTAGAATTAAAACGGCGAATGCGCTCTACGCAAAATGCGAAGAGTGGTCCGTCTACGCTCTACGTAGAATTAAAATGACCGATTACGCTATACGGAAAAGGGCTTGTGGGCCCCCTTCTAGTGTTGTAAGACACATCGGCAGAACATACTGCACCTGCGCGAAACCCGTAATGTATTGTGCCTAGCACTTCGGCAGAACGTCTCATATAAGGCCGTACATAGCATCCCGTCTGTAGTTTCCAAATGTTGTGTCGAAAAAGATATCAACAGGCAAAATTCTGATGGAACGTTGACCAAGCATCCAACAAAAGAACATGAAAAATTGGGGTTTCACGCAGGTGCAGTACTTTCTGCAGACATGCGCAGTTGTAATATGTATAGCTTTGGAAGGCACACTAGTACGTAGAGGTATTGCAATTTGCAAGTGAAGTATAAGTAGTGCACTAAGGACCCTTTCACATTGGTCACTCAAGTTTGATGTCGTTGCATTTTCAAGCAGACTTTGACAGAACCTACCGCCAGAAAAGAGGAAGTCATCAATAGATTGTTAATGAAGGTGTTCCTCCATCTTTTTCAGAAATGCGTCTCTTGCTGCGAAGGCCACATCTGCAACTACGATGTCCCCACGAATGAGACCAACGCAGTGTTCGACAGACAAACAGCAAGCAGCGCCTCCTATCTCAGGTCAACGGAACTGCTCCTCGTCACAGTTGCACTCTCCATTGTGTTGAGAATATTGTAGCATAAACAAAAGTAAAGATGTACAAAATAATGTAAATACAGAAAATCTTATTATATTTGTAGTCTGTGTTACCCCTTCTCAGAATGAACTAGTCCTGTTGTATATCTTTTCTGTACAGCTGCTATGAAAATGGGACAACTTATTTTGAAAAGTAGGGGGATGTTTTATATAAAGTGTTACTTCAGAACAATCAAAGAAACGAAAAACAATCAGGTTGTGCCTCCTGAAAGAAGTGTGTTTGGCAATTTTAAGTTCCATGTTTTCTTCTGGTTGTGTTTTATGCTGCTTTAAGCTCTGCTTTAGGGATTGTATATGAGATATGACTGTGTACTTATGTTTGCATTGCAAAGAGTAGCACATAACTTGGAATTTCCATTGCATCTGCCTACAAATCAGTATTTTTCTGTGTGAAGCATTTGTTCTATTCATGGAAAATATGATGTATATAGATTTAAAGTATCTGTAACAAACAATCATGTGAACAAAAATGGTGCTAGGCCATAGATGAATAAACGATCAGATTTGTTCACTTAGAGTTCTGGTAGGAGTTCTGGACATGCTTTTCGTACCTAAGACTGTTTGCCAATGGAGCTGCCTAACATTATCTGCCTCTGATACAAAGCCATGGCTCTATTTATTTGTTTCTACTAGCTACTTATATCTACCTGTAAGTGCCTAGTTTTTAATATCTAAAACTTATCACTGTATCTCACACACATTGTGTTCCATATTGTACTCTGGTTTAATTCAAATACATTTGTAATCACTTTAACATGATATTTTTAATATTCTCGTTTGATCAACTTTACTGCACAATCAAAATTAGATTCAATCTTCACCTTGCACAATGTTTGTTCAAATTTTGTTCGGTTTCACTATTCCACTGTTATCACCTATGCTTCTTTACTTGTGTACGAAAATTATGTTGTTTCATTGAATGAATGAATAAATTTTGAAGTTACACACTCATGGAAATATGACATTTTTTGTTACAGTTGCCTTAAAGATATCATTTCAATGTAACATTAAACATATTTCCTTTGGTTGAAGACCCACTCACAACTTAAAACAATGCACAGGACAAAAGATAGTGAATTTTCATTGTAAACAGACATGTTAGACTGTAAAAATAATTCATTACTTAGCCAGTGACAATACAATAATGTTCAACAACAAACTGTTCACAAGTTTCCAACAATTCACACAGGCACTCTAGCAGGTAGGAGGGGTTTATAAACTTTTAAAAATGTTCTTTTTTATGTTTTTTTTCTGATGACTGACCAGTATCATTCCAACAGTCTGGCTGAGTCTACATCATGAATATCATTTAATTACAAATGTATATACACTGTATGGAAATACTGCACATAACACTTTCCACAAATGAACCATCCTCAAAAGCACAATATGTTACATATTTATCTTTGTATATAATCAATATATATTATTTACAGAAAAAAATACATATACCAGTTACCAAGGTGTTGACTAGGAATAGAGTCGGTAGCTGTTGTAATATAAAACAAGCAGGCACCCTAAAATAGTCCACAAGAATGGGTTTGTTTTTTTTGCTGAGTTCAAGGGCGTGAGGGTGGCAAACACCGCATCAGTCGCATTTCTTGGCACCTCTGGGTTACAAACATTCCCTTCACAACAGGATATGCACTCCTGAGAGGAAAGAAACATAATTGGTGTCAGCATACCGTACATTTTATTAAAATGTGCATGATAGTACGTTGTTTTTTCTTTACAGCCAACATTGTTCATGAACATTCCAGATTTAAAACAAGGTACTAAGGGTATGAACCAAGAAAAGTGTTTCCTGACATAAAAAGCTCTCTGCCACCAAAATATCAAGCTGAATTAGCATGTCTAGAACAAAAGATCCAAAAAAAACTGCAGTACCAAGGTCAGCCACCAGGACACCTAAATTTGACCGTCTTGTCAAGACTTACACATACCAAATATGATAACAATCTATCAGTTATGCTGACCAGAAGTTATGCTGCGGAAACACACAGACACACAGACAGACCAAAAACAATACCTCCATTTTTTATGGAGGTAACAATGCTACCCTGGAAAACCAGAATACTGTGGGGCTCAGCCGGTTTCTATCTACCGATGGCTGGTTGGATTTGATAAGGCTAAGCACCGAGCTTAGTAGAAAAGGTCCAAGCTCCGTGGTTTCCAGGGTACATCAATGCTTGTCTGCAAAATACAGTCTACACCATAATTCTTACACATTCTACTAGTATTCCTGCCTCCAGCAATTTCATTACGAAAACTAAAACTCAGTAACAGTAGAGGCCCCTCTGGACATGATAACAGAAACTATGTTGATCATTTCCACTGATAAATGACTAGTTGAGCCAGGAAACCTTCGGTGATAATTGCAGTAAATCCTTCATCTTAGTCTGTAATATATGTGTCCACCTGTTCAAGTAAATTTGGCCAAGTTGCCTTCCATCCAGCTCTTTTCAATTCCAAGTACATCGAGGGATTGATTTAGCACTCGGAGTTGTCTTTTATGTTTTCTTGATATTTTCTTTGGTCAGTGTTATCTTTCTGGGCATGTGAAAACGTTTAGTTGGTGAGCTGTTTACAACTTGGACACAGGCAGCAAAAGTGTGTGAGGGAGTGTACATGAAAATGGACCTTCAATACATTCCTGCTTGAATCTGATACAGGAAGTCAGTTTTGATTAAACTTTGGGGATATATTACTTCTGATGGTGTCCAGATATCAGTTCATAGGGCAAAAACGTGTTGTCGCACAAAAATCCGCATGCCCTTTTCTGTAGAGCGTAATCAGCATTTTAATTCTACGTAGAGCGTAGATGGACCGCTCTAATTGAATGTAGAGTGTAATTGGTGCATTTTGTGTATATTGTAATTCACCATTTTGATTCTATGTTGTAGCTACCCGGAATTTATCGTTACGCATAATGGGGAGTCTTCCTGAATTTAGCGTAATATGTTGCCGGCTTTCAAAATTTAGCGTAGAGCGTTGTCGGGACTCCCTCATGCAGGCCCTCATATTCTGTTCAACTTGCAGACTTGAATGTATACAAGGGAATACAAATGTATTGTGTTACAAGTCACTACTTGTTACAAGTTACAAGTAACCTGGATATTATCTTGGTTAAGTTTATGTTCACTTGCACAGTTGGAAGGAAATTAAAAATGTACTGTTGACTCAAGGTTCGACAATTCATCTCTGCCAACTATTTGAGAAGGCAAATTTACACAGTGCGATCATGAAAGATCAGTCTGCAATCTAACAAATGAATCAAGACCACAGGAAACAACATATTAAAAACAGCATGCAATTTTGCAAGCTATAAATATATCCAGGCTCGAAATTATTGATAACAAGCAGCAGGCAACAGAAAAATGCATTTCAAGCTCATACTCGTAGCCAGGGGGGGATTCTCAAGAAGCCCCCACAAGGCTCAAAGGTCCACTTTTTACCTAAAGGTCCAAGATTTTTCTTAAAAGTTGGACTGATTTGTTTCACCAGCAGGGCTGGAATCCTAGAAAAAAAGGATCACTTTGTCATTGAATAAAAATTTATCTCTGATTTTTCCTTTGAAACCCTATGAAAAACGCAGGAAATGCCATTTCAGAAGGTTCAATTTTCAAAATTTTCTGATGGAAAATGCCCCTGGATCCCCCTAGGAACCTCGCGCCTTCAGCACTCACTGGTCCCTCAGACAGTGGGACCAAATCAAAATCCTGGCTTCAGGCATGTGTCTTATATGTGTCTTATAATGGAGCTGTACTCACTCTTGTATTGGTCCCTTCAAAATCTCTACATCCCACAGACTTCACAGTGCACTGTCCTTCCGTGGCACACTTTTTAACCACCAGACTACTCTCGTTTCCACTCATCCTGTGGAATGTGTAGCAATATTTTGTGCCTGAAAAATAATTCACTGGATTAGAAATGTATATATGATACTAAATCTAGGCAAGATAAAAGTCATACACTTAATGAAAACTGAAGTAGAATTAGAGAAGGCACTAGGTTTAAATACTTGGCAAGCATTTAAGTACAGGATTTGCTGTGCAAATGTCATACACATTGTTAAATTGGCTACAAATAATTATAAAAGTATAATTATTTGTAGCCAATTTAAAAGTGCAGAAATGGCATATCTAACTTACGCATACAGTAAAGCAGAAACTATGTTAGCCTTATTAAAATGCCTGCATATGCACAGTCACACAGTAAAAGAAAGACCTCCATAGTACTATATACCATGTATTCATTACGGTTTAATCAATCTGTGCATTGGTATGGTATGATATTTGATAGGAAAAGAATGGAGGAGACAATCTCACCTTGAGGACACCAGATGTCAGGTGCCCACCTGTTACAGTGATAGTTATTTTCTGCACCGTCCTCACATGTCCAGCACTTCATACTGTTAACATATGGGGTGGCTGGAAAAAGGACATTGAATTTCAGAAAGTAAGAAAAAGACATTGTACAAAGTCAAAAAGTATCTACAATATATGAGTAACATTAGATCTTTCCAGTAGTTATCATGTTGCTTTTGTCTAAGAAACCTGTGAACTGCAATGAAAACTCAAGTATACCAACACAGATGAACTTTCATACTAAGAAAATTGAAGTTATTTTCTTGCATCTTGAATCTGTTTCTTGGCAGACCAGAATCCAGAATTTGCTTGAATTTCAACTAGAATCGAAAATGCGCTTGGCAAGCATTTGAATCCTGAATTTTATTTTCTAGAAAGACTGTATACTACTACTACTACACATGTACCTGTACACAATTCTGAGCATGGGATCATTTACCTTGCAGTAAACAGTGCTACAACACTACAAGGATAAGTTAATTGGGACAGAGCAACTGATCTAAACACCCAAACTAATCCTCTGTAAATGGATACAAAATCACTCCACCTTTAAAGTACTCCAGCAATTTACCGACAAGCCCTGCATCAAAGTCTTCCTCAAGATAAACAGAGTTAAGAAATATTAGAAAGATTTTCAGGAGTGACCTGTCTGTTGATAATTACTGCCCAAAATCCTGCTGTCCTTAAATGTACAAAGTTTATCTCTCTCCCTGATGCCTATCACACCTCTTCCTTCCACAGGGAGATAAGATAAACCACTATGTGGCAGACTGACCTAGAAATCAACCCCACTATGACTGGAAACATTTAAGGTCTAATTAAGTTTGTAATCCACAGAGGCAGAAGCTGCTGTACATCCTTAAAATTAGTTCTGGTCAACTAGTAACCATCAACTAACAATATATCATCTTGACAAGTATCATAAAGAATATAGATACTGGTATTCAATACTAGTGCCTAAACAGGTGGAAGGGAATATGATTGTAGTTCGAGCATTGACCTGCTTGTAATATTTGCCTTTTGTCTAGCTTTGGTGAAGTCGTTAAAATTTTTTGGGGAAACTATCCCACTTGTACACTCTTACAAAGTCTCTGGTAATCGCTTCTATCAGATGTACATTTTGTATTCTTTACATTTTGTAAATATTGTTCTTTTGAGTATGACTGTACTTTTGTAGATTATTGAATTTCTTACATAATGATTGTAGGAGCAACAGACAGCCATGAATCATTACTTTAGCCAAAGAAACTCAGATATACTCACTGACTGGATATGTTGGTACAATCCACTCCATTCCCTTCACCAAGTCTGTCAACAGCAGGAAAACCAGCAGAAATAGTTTCCCAGTTCTTAAAACCCTCGACTCTACACAGAATACAGTCCAGATGTCTTGTCCGCGAGATAGCATCCAGTTTGGCAGCATTGTCATAAGCCTTGCTCTTTCCTCCTGGTGTTTTGTACCGTCAACCTTTTAGCACGTGGTAACATAGAGACAGAGGAGTCCTACATGTAGCTAACTGGTCCAACTTAGCCACTGGCCATCACAAATTATCAGCTGTGGTGACGTCTTGGCTGTTTCGAGTTCCCGCAGTATCTCGGAGGAACGCCACTTCTCGGCTCCAGGCTGATCAAAGCTCCTTGGGCTAATCAAATACTTGGAGATCTAATAAGCAGTCACAGCTCTGTAGACGAGATTTCATAATCAAGATCTTGACAAGAGAGCCTCGGGGTAAAGGAGGACATATTACTTCAGCAACTGGTGCAGATTCTTAGTAGGGAGTACAACCATGGCAATGGATGATTGGTAGAGTAGGCAGAGGGCAGTCTCTTTGAGTCTGACATTTACTGTGCAGTGAGTTCTTGATGTGATGTCTCGTGTACATCAGTCTACTAACCAGTTATGTGACATGCTGGCATGGGAGCGGAAGTTCCAATGACAGGCTAATTAAATCTGTAGGAAAGAAAAAAGAAATACATTTGTCAGGTGTTCATTTGTCTAGGTTCATTATCTATCAATGGGTGAAAGTTACTGGTACACTGTATAATGGCTATGAAAAACAAGCAATGATGGCATGAGGCATTAATTGAAATTCAAACTCCTTCCTTTGATGAGGTGGCAAATTTTCGGAAACTTTTTGCAGACAGTTGCTTTCAAGGTAGTATCAAGCATCCTTTCTCGAGGTATATCTTGACTTGCTCTCGAAGAAGAAACAGTAGCAGTCAAAACAAAGGACACACCGCTGAAAGACCCAGATACCTGGAGATAACTCTACTTCCTTATAGGTTAAGATGAGGCCCCTTAGGAGCACATCATTGGGAAAATCCTGACCTTATGGAAGGAATGATCGGAATACCCCAGGATCTTTGCCGACTAGTTTGTGCCGAAAGTTAAATGATAGCGTACCTTCAATCAGATGACGTATAGGAAAATGGTACAAATGAGGAGCCCTTTTCTCCCTCAAGCCTTTTAGGCCACACCAATTTAATTTGTTGGTTCTTGGATTTGCCTCTTCATTTTTTTCTGATTTACAAAAAAAAAAGATTCTGCTTCAGAATCAAGTCAAAAATGCTTACAATTTGCCCCCAACAGTTGAGGAAAGTTTTTTTTCCTAGTCACAGTTTTTTCCATCTATCAATGCAGTGGTTTGATTACATGTAGAAGTTAAAAATTTGTTGTTTAAATATCAACCCAGCCTTTGTATTGACTTCATGGCTCCTATCGTAGCATTTGGGGATATAATAGGATGCCCAGACCTGTTTTTATTTATTTTTTTTTTCCCTGTCGCTTCATATTTTCTCTGAAAAAGTCTGAGAACCAACAAATTAAATTAGTGTGACCTTAATGTCTAACATATTTGTGACTCATGGTGGGTCTTTGAGGGTGGGTTAATCTTCTTATCTTCACTCTGGTTTTCTTCTTTTATCTCCTTGCCACGTTTCTCATAGTTCTTATCAGCTAATTGTCGAGCTTCTGTAAAGGATTGGGGGAGGACTTGTTTGTGAAGGTTGATTTCCACCTGTTCTGTCCAGTCATTGATACTCTTCCATGATAGGAGCCTTTCAACATTATACTTAACATTCTGGGTATGGGTTAAGCTAATAAGCATTTTTTGCAAAGAAAAATGGGACATATGAAACATGGCATTTCCTTTGGCCCCAAAAATTTAATGTATAACAGTCATGTTCTAAAGCATGAAAAACGTTTATCACTATTACATATATATATAATAACTGATCTTATTTTTTCTCATTTTACATCAATTTGAGAAATTTACGCAAACCTGTTTCTCTCATCCAAGGATGTCATTGAAAAACAAACAAAAAAATAGGAATGAACAGTGAAACATTATTCTATTAGATGACCTAAATGACTTGAGAAAGTTCTGGTATCCACTATTGAGGCTTAGGAACAATTGCAAGAAATCATAAATGATTAAAAAGCATAATTGAATTTGATACAAAAGGCACAATAAGTTGTCATTCAGCAGAACACACCAGCTCCACAGGCACATGATGTGGTGGCAGCTGACTATCTTACACCGAACGACCTGTTGCACCTAACCTTTGCACATCTAACTGTAAGCAATGAGCTCCAATCTAGTCCATAGTTCTAGAACTGGCCAGTCTGAAACAAACATCTCAGGCATCTACCCTACAGGATGTGGTAAAACCCTGTTAGCCAGTCACTCTTACTAGTATTTCTGAACACCCATAACTCAGAACCAGTAACTACCTTTTTATGTACAAGCCTGTCAACAGCAAAATTCATCTGAGACGGGTATTCGGACTTAGCTGCCCTGCCCGGTCCACCTAAACCGCTGCCCGGTCCGGTCCGAGGCCGCTAATGGGGGTTTTGCGTATCCCATGCGCCGGAGCAAGCATTTCGCTTTTTCCGATCTCACAGGACGTCATGGGACGTGACGAAACAAGAAATATCTGCCGTAGAAGAAATATAAATCGGTAACTCATGCCTTAAATTCACGGCGGTTTTTGACACAAAAGAAAAATTATTATAATTTTTGTAAGGCGCGCGGCTTACTAGTACTAGCGGCTTTAATACTCACGGTAAACTGTACCGTCACTCCCGGCGCAAGGACTCGGTTCGCCAGCTGAGGACTTTCCACAACCATGATGATATCATAGTTAATAAAGGAATATATAATAGATCTATCATGTTGAAATGATAATTGTAATACATGGTTCTATTTAATAGCGGTAGTTTTGTTTCTTATTTTGAGGGGAGAAACACGGGGGAAACTGTCAAAAATCGAGGGAACGCAAACTGAGATCGGCTCACTTCCGGGTGCATAACGCCAAAATTTCTCGACGATTATATAAAAATGACCACACACGGTAGCGTGTACATGGTAGTGCGATCATATCGTGCCAAAGTCAGCGTCAAACGTCAGAAAATCCCCGTAAAAATATAGTTGCAAAACACATTTCCCGCGCACTCAGGGCCGGTCGCCCTGGCCGCGGCCGCCCTGTGTGCAGCATGCTCATGCAAGTAGCTACGCTCTGATTGGTTCACCTTAGATGACCTGCGCTGTGATTGGCTAGAACGAAGCCCGTTGCATGCTGGGGCGCCCTTCCCCGCGCGAGCTGGAATCTCGAGAGAGCCACATTTACGCTGGTTTCTACCTTATTTCTACGACTAATTAGCAACATCCTAGTGACGAAATGCGTACTCAAAAGAATTTTCGGAAAAAAAAATATATGTACATGTGGATTTGTGGTGCCTTTGGCGTAATTTTGTTGGTCACATACAACGTAATGTAACACATGTAACACGGAAGTGCATGGAGTCGGAGTGGCGGCACGGCTTTCCGTCCCACTCTAAACAAAACTCCAAGGACATAACAAAACTCCCCAATACTGGTCAATAATTAGCCATAAAAATGTTGGTGGGCACGTGTAAATATGCTGCCTTTTTCGAGTGTTATAGGAATTTTCCGCGATGTTTTTGCACATCCCTAACGTTACCTCACGGCGGACCGGGGCATTTATAACTTCAGATCATCTAGGTTTGCTTATTCGGTGGTAAAATAAGTTAACAGAGAAAACAGCAAAACAAAGTTGACAAACTATAGAAACGTTTGCCTGGGCAACAGTGACAAAAGAAAATGTCTATCTAATTGAATTGCGCCGGTGATCGTAAAACGTTTTAACGTTACAATATAGCAGGGCTTTAGCCAGCTCGAAATTTTTTACCGTCAACCCCAGGTCAACCCAATTCGCGAAAAAAAATACCGTCAACGCGAAAAAAAATTCCGTCAATGATTACTTTTAAAGAATGTCTTTCACGAGCCGGTGATCGACATCACACCCTCCCGCACACTTAATGCTTGAATACGCAAAACCCCCATTAGCGGCCTCGGACCGGACCGGGCAGCGGTTTAGGTGGACCGGGCAGGGCAGCTAAGTCCGAATACCCATGTGAGACATCCTGTTCATTTCTTGGGTTTAATTGGGACTCGTTAGTCAGGAGTGTTTTAATGACTGTAGGGAGTGCTCGCATTTCTCAGATTACAATCATTTCCACCCCATAAACTTCTCTTTTCAACATAGTAAATGCAGAGGAACAGCAAATTTTGCAGACAAGAAAAACAGCATTGAGAAACTTACAGATGCAATGATTACAGTCAAGAGTTGCAAGGTGGAGGGGGGGGGGGTGAGCATTGAGACTAAACATGCAACAGCTAATATACATGCAGAGTTTGTTAGTGACTATTTAACATTTGAAAGTATCTTTATATCTAACGTTACATGTATGTAGTAGCATGCCATACTATGAGAGCAACAATCAATTATGGTACATTGTGTATACAATCAAAACTGCACAAGAAGACCACTTTGGGGACCTTGGTTTCATCTATATGTGGACAGGTACAATATATGTGTAATGTGTGTATATAGGTGGCCCTTATGTAGAGGTGGTCACTAGTACCGGATTGACTGTATTTTCATCTTATAACTTGATCCAAAATCATGAGCATTTTATCTACAAGCTAACTTGACTTGGAAGACCTTCATACAGAGACACAGGGCACAGCTACATGTATCAGCCCACCTGCACTATTAAATGGTACGCTTTGTTAAACAAGGATATCCTCACTTCATACATCCCATATCAGTTTACTAATTCAGCCCAGAATGACCTGGAAGAAACCAGGGCCAACAGTACAGAAACACCCTTAGTGACCCATTTTTTTCAAGGGGTAGAAATCAGTACTTGTTTGATCAATGGATATACCTTGGGAATAAATGACTAGATGACAATTGATGGAGATACGTGTAGACAAATTGTACCCAGAATTAAACGATTTTTAGACAAATTTTACCCAGAAATTAAACATTTTTTCAGCCATATAGCATCAATATCTAACAGTCTTTCTTTACACCCATAGAGGCTCCCTTTCCTTGAAAGACATTGAGTTTGAGCATACAAACTTTCCTTCTACAGGTTCATCAATTTTAGACTCATCAATTTTAGACTCATCAATTTTAAACTCACCAATTTGAGTAAAAACATTGCTTTGTCCTCTTCACAATCTTATCATTTTCATTCTTGAAGATGGTGTAAGAATAGCACAAAATCATGACTTTCCCACTCTGACATTAGTCCATATCCCTTCTATTAAGCATAAGATTTGTTGTTTCACCCAACTCCATGTGTAAACTTCCAAGTCAAATATTGTTACTGTATACTTAAACATTCCACAGGTGACATTCACCACGGGCGTATGCTACCTGTGCTACCAGTGGTCACTACTACCCTTTGTTCCAACCTTATTTCTCACCAATTGCACACCTGGGAATATAATCTCATTGTCTGAAACAATACGTGGCAAGGAAACAGGGACAGAACAACAGCAAAGCCCGAAAGGATTCTCTATTTATAGCATGGTGCAGTTCAGGACTGTCACACCATAAAAAAATAACAGTTCACCTAAACTGATATACAACATTGTACTGAAAAGCTTTGTAAATGGCTACATCATCAAGTACAAATGTAGACTAAGACCTACCTTACAATATTCTCTCTTCATCTGAGACCACTGCAAGACTTGTAGTCATGTCAGGTCATCACCTACGCACCTGATGTGTGACTACAACGGTCAATACTCAGGTATTTACGACCAACCACCACACACGTAACACGTAAATACTCGACAGGAAAGGCCCCACCTCCTCCACCAGCTATAGACCACTTCCCCTCATTGGTTGCCTGGCGACCATGTAGATTTCTCCGGGTGCCGACAGTTTTATTGTCGCCTGGTCAATTGTTTGGAAGTAAACTGTTGACCTGGTAAAGAACATTTATAATGTTGCTAAATGAGCTGTTCGGATGTTTGATCTCCCAATTGGAGAGGTAAAACACAGGTCACATTGAGTCCTAGTACAATGTAGTACATTTGTAGTAGACTTCTACCCAAGACATTTATCCATAATCTCCAGGTGTAACTTGCTATTTTAACCTACTTCACCTTTCAAGCAGATATCGTCCTCAAAAACAAAATACGATACGATATGACTTTATTAGCAAATAGCAGACAACATGAATTGGTGTCTGAAATACCTTGCTAATTAACATTAAAATGTGGAAAATTACATTGCTACACCTATCCATAAAATTAATTAGTTCACGAAACGTATATTACATTCAATAAAATATTAAAATTCAGTGGTACTAATTAAAATCTTAAATAGAAGATATAAGAATAGCGTTACAGTACTACAGGTAAAATTACAAGAATACAAGTCGAGTACACAAGTTTGTAGTGCACAGATTCTGATTCACAATAGCGCATATGCCATTTGGTACAAGTGTTTAAGCAGTCTCTGATAATCGTTACTACAGAGTCTGGTTGTACAGGGATGTTGCTTGATGTAGAAACGATCTTTTGAGACGTTCGGTTATACATGAAGGCAGTGTGAGCTGGTGGTGGTTCCTGAGAGTTCTTCCAGTCCGCTGTTGTCTGTCCTCTGTGACCATATGATGCAGCGGATGGTCACTGGAGCGCATCTGGTTGAGGAGTGCGACTGCTGCGTCTTCACGCCTGGACTGGAGAGTGGGCAGGGGGGTTGCAGCCGGGGAACTTCTGTTCCTGTTTATTATCCTCACGGCTCTTCTCTGCAGAGCTTCAAGTGTTTTTGCCTGTGAGTTGGTGCATCCGACATAGACCACGTTTGCATATTCCAGAACGGGTCTAATGAGGGTTGTGTACACTGCCGTTAGATCGTCTGCAGGCATGCCGCCTTTGGCAAGGAGCCGAAGGTAATGTAGGCGCTGTGACCCCTTCTTGGCCACGTGAGTTATGTGACTGTCCCATTTGAGGTTATCACTGATCTTGAAACCCAGGTAAGTGGCACATGTAACAACCTTAACCTCTTTTCCTCCGAGAATGAGGGGAGGGAGGACTGGAGGAACTCTAGAGAAGCATATCCTAAGTTCATATGACTGGTTTCCAAATATTGTGCTAGCTTTGCAGTGTTCTTGAGTAAAATATTCAAACTACATGTTAGAGAATAGTTAAACCTTTATTTTTGCCACTGACATAAATTCTGTACGTACATGTAGTTTGCCGCATACATATATTCTGTACGTTATTCATACGTATATTTAGCGTGGTTAGAAGACCCAAGGAGGTTTAAAATCAACCTCATTGGAAGACCATGCAGAACTTAATTTTGTTGAGTCAATAAAGAATCAGTTGTAAAAGAGACTGTCTAAGCATAATGAGTATTTGCTTTATCTGTAAGTGTCAAGCCTTGGGGCATTAACGGCTTGAATGTTACGCTTTCAAAACAAACACAGTGTAACATGTTTTTCTACCATGCATTGCATGGAAAATCTGCCATCATTTCAAGATCTAGAAATCAACAACATTTCACAGGTTGTTTTTGTTTTTCTGTTGTTGTTGTTTGACTTTTTTGGTGATGTAGGTGGCTGTATTGTTGGGATGTTTGTCTTCATAAGGAAATTAAGGGATTAACGAAAGTCAAAAGTTCACGCAATAGGTCAGTTCTCATAAATCATGGCTTTCTCAATCAGTTTGTAACAACTGACCCCATGCTGAGCTGAGCACGTCGGCAAAACATACTGCGCCTGCGCGAAACCCCCATTTTCCACAATTTTCATTTGATTTTTGGTCAACGTTTAAAAACGTTGCATCAGAATTTAGCCTGTTGCAGACAATATTTTGTCTGACATAACATTTGTATCACTACAGATAGAATGTTAACCTTGTATGCGCTAATATAACCTTATATGAGACGTTCTTCCCAAGTGCTATACACAATACACTAATTTATAGGTTTACAGCTCTAGGAGGGGCATCGCAAGAATCTTCAAGCAGATGTATAGTTTTGACTTCAAATTGTCCCTGCAGACCTTTTTGCTCATCTAGTGCTGGGTAATAACATATTACTTTTGTTACATAAAAAATAGAACCAATACGTCATGCTAACACCTCTGTGTGCCTACCATGGAAAAAGTCACACTTCAGGTGCAAAGAACAGGTAGCAAGTGACACAGGAACACACACCACTGCCACCTTTGTAGCAAAGACATAATAATATAATGTAATGTCCTTGGATGTAGGTAGCTATTAAAGAGGCACAGAAAATAAAGGAACACTCTAGTCACACACTTGAAGCTCACTATGGACTGGTCCTGCCTTTTGGCTGAGCTGTCCTACATTTGAACTCAGTAGTCCCTACTCCGTGACTCTAAGCCAAATGTGTTACTAACGCAGGTGTAAAGGTGTGTAGCTGACCTGTATAATGTTATCCTATGCTGAGGATGCTGAACATGAGTAAGTAATGGGAAAAATCACATGATACTGCTGAAAAAATACAGGTGTACAGCCACAGTACAGGTGTGAGAAGTGCTGCTGAGATGATGAGGGGGGTTGAGTGCCACTTCCTCTGTCACCTTCCAGGTACGTAGTAAAACCCAAGTTTTGTGCCAGGAAAAATTATCCCAATGTAGTTTTATCTGTGGACACGACAGCTACTATGGTACCTCAAAAGTTGATTATCCTTAGCCAAAAGAAAGCCCATGCACAATTGTCACAACATTGTAAAACCAAATATCATAAAATATCCATTATGTGCACACAAACCTGAGCAAATAGATGCTGGTGAAAAGGTAACCTCTTTGCAGGTCCCATTGCATGAAGAGATGAAACTTATAATGACTACATGTACTTTTGCTGACATCATCCTGACACCCTTTTGTGTTTTCTACAGGAACACCATGATGTAGGTGAGAAGTACAGGTGTCTGGGTCCCACAGTGATGACAAGGTTGGATTCTGCTTCCTGTATCATCTCACAGTCTGATAATATACAATATACTTAAAATATAATTCTATGTCCCTCCCTCTATACCAGATGCATTCCAAACCTGTGATTTAATACATGTATATAGTGCAGTACCATGTCTCTGCCTTAACAAGCTAGATTTCAGAACCCTCACACCTCTTTGAGACATTTAGAGCTCTTGTAAACATAATGCTATTCTGAGATCTTCCACAAAACCCTTGCGATTGCAATTTCCATACGTGGCATAACACATTTAGTAAAGGTTGGAAACAAATTGAATCTGCAGTGAAAAAAAGAAGCCAGTGTTACCCAGTGAGACAAAACATCAACCAATGTATGTAATCTTTACGGGATGTGATCAGAATGATAAAGGATTGGCTTCCTTCATCCATCTAAAAAAACTGTCAACTTTATCTCTTGTTTTCTTCATAAGTGATGTCCTCTAGGGTGAGATTAACCCTCTTTTGTTCTACCTAATTTCTGAACACTAATTATGTCTTGTAAACCTCACCTGTAGGCCTGGATCAAATGAAACTTGAGTTGCAAAACATCCAACATTTGTACTGTACTACATTCCATTTGTATTTGCCCAATATAAAATCAACTTTCTGCCTCTTTCTGCCAAATGTGGATCACAAGACACCCCATTGACTCATGAACTGTCAAAAGTCATTTTATCAGCTCAAGCACTGAGGTGTCTGAGAGACTTTTAAAAATGCCATAAACAGTATGTAGTTCTAAACATCAGTTACGGGTACTCACCGCCACCCTGCTTTGGGTGGCGGACAGGGAGTGGCGCCCCTGCCCATTGAGGAGCTGCAGACCACAACATATATACCACAACATATATATACATTTACATATACATTTATATCATACATTTGCGACCACCTCTATCAAAAACCCCTACCCCCACCGTGCTGGAGCCCTCAAACTAGTGAGGTTAGCGCGAAAAGGGAAGAAGAAGTCTGCATTTTAAAACATTGTGTTATGATTGCAGTTCATAGTACAGTTTTCAAGTTGTGGCTTCAATCCTTTTTTCTTAGACGTCTAATGAAGCTAAAACTCCAGGGGGTAGTCTGGGCAGTCTGGAAAATTAGCAGCAGGTAAAATTACACTGGAACAAGAGACAATTCAAATCCATCAATAACAAACTACCCTGGTCTACATTTAGTTATAGTCTTGTGCTCGTAGTAGTGATTTTTCAGTTTCAGTCAGTTATAATCAGATATCTCTCATATATATTATGATGCTTTTATGGAATAGCAGTGTAATGTATATATATCTGGTAGGTAAATCCAAAAATGCATACGCGGTACTTATTTGTTCAGTGCTTTGGGAATAACCAGTTTACTTAGTTCCAGATGATGTAATTAGTGAGATAAGTCCATCATTACTCTAGGGCAATGGTTTTTGGTCATCCAAACATATAATCATTAGAGGACCTCCCATTGTACTGAATGCTATTGTATGTAAACACTTATTGTATGAACACATGGACAATAGAACTGTATGATTCAATATGGAATTCCCATTATTTTCCATCTCTGATTCATATAAAAATCCCTTCTGAATGGACTTGGAAAAGCTATGATATGCAAATCATTCAACCACCTGTTCTTGTATCCAACAGTACCTTACTGGTACAATGTAGGACAAAAGTCTGAACCCTGCCATTTTTTTGAAGCTTTAGACAATGTGTAAGAGATGGGCCAGTAATCTACCCAAAGTTACCAAGACATGTCTAAATAAGTTATATCTCTCATATTATTTTCCCACCAACAATCAGGAATTTCTGGCAACTTGCTGAAGAAGAGATACAAAACCAGAC